GCTTTGTAGCTCGGAGCTAGGCAGGTGATGTTTGGCGGCGTGGATTTGACACGCATGGCACTTCCGAACGATGTCTGAAGCATCCTTTTTGATCGTGGGCCAATAGTAACCCTGCAAGAGGACCGTCCTCTCGAGCGACCTGGGACCCGCATGGGTCGCGCATGTTCCCTCGTGAATTGCCCGGAGTGTCCACTTCGCTTCTTCTGGGCCGAGGCACTTCAGGTAGGCGCCAGAGAACGATCTCTTGCAAAGTTGTCCGCCAATGATGGTGTATCTTGCTGCCCTTCGTTTGAGTGCCTTCCGCTCAACGGGGTGCTGTGGGGTAACATCATGTTCCAAGTATTGGAATAGGGGTGTTCTCCAGTCGGAGGCGTCCCCTATTGCCATGACTTCTCCTGGGAGGTCTCCCTCTTTGGTAACCGTGACGTGGCGGTCGCCCTCGAAATCCATAGTGGTTGCCAGCTTGGAGAGCGCGTCGGCATGCTGGTTGTCATCCCTTCGAACGTGCTCGAGCTTCCAGGAGCTTAATTGAGCTAGGGCGCTCTTGACTCTGCCGGCTAGGACGGCCAGCGCCTCATCCTTGATTTCGAACGCCTCATGCACTTGTTGGACCACCAGGAGGGAATCAGAGTAGATATGCACGTCGGATGCGCCCATATTGGTGAGCACCGCCAGTCCATTGATGAGGGCTTCGTATTCTGCGGCGTTGTTGGTCTTGATGTCTTTAAACCGTAGAGAGATTTCATGGATGACTCCGTCAGGCGATTCTATGACTATCCCTGCCCCCGAGGCGGTTTTTCCCGCTGCTCCGTCAACGTGCAAACGCCAGATCTGGTTGCGTTCCTCGGAGGGAGGGGAGATGATAGAGAAGCCTTCGGCGATGAAATCGATCAGGACTTGGCCCTTGATGGCTGGTCTTGGAGCGTATTCAATGTCATACTCGCTGAGCTCGACCGCCCACTTTGTTAGTCTTCCCGATGCGTCCATGCCCCGCATGACGCTTTTGAGAGGCAGATTGGTTAACACCGTGATGGGGTGTCCTTGGAAGTACGGTCTTAACTTTCTAGCTGCTGAGGCGATGGCGAGGACCGCTTTTTCGACCGGCATGTATCTTGTCTCGGCGGGTAGAAGCGCTTTGCTCACGTAGTAGACGGGCTGGTCAGAGCCATCTTGCGCTTTTCGTACTAAGGCGGAGCTCACAGCCTGTTCCGAAACCGCGAGGTAGAGATAAAGCCGCTCGCCACCTACGGGGGCGCTTAAGATTGGAGGTGAGCCGAGCTGGTTTGTCAGTAGAGCGAAGGCTTTGTCGCACTCAGCGCCCCATTGAAGTTTTGAGGCTGACTTCTTCAGCATTTGGAAGAAGGGGGAGCACTTGTCTGCAGACCGCGGAATGAATCTTCCTAATGCGGCCATCTTGCCGTTGAAGGCCTGGATTTCCTTGATTGTCTTCGGCGGCTTCAGGTTGCGGATAGCCTCGATCTGCTTTGGATTGGCTTCTATTCCTCGCTTTGTGATCATGAAGCCAAGGAATTTTCCCGCTTCGGCCCCGAAGACGCATTTGAGTGGATTGAGCCTCAGATTCCTCCGTCTCATAGTCTCGAAGGTTTCCCGTAGGTCGGAGAGGTGGTCGCTGGCTTTCTTGCTCTTGACTAGCACGTCATCAACGTAAGCTTCCACGTTCCTTCCCATTTGATCTCTGAAGACCGCATCCACCATTCGTTGATAGGTTGCCCCTGCGTTCTTGAGTCCGAAAGGCATGACCACGTAACAGAAGTTGCCCATCGGGGTCATGAAGGCAGTCTCTTCTTGGTCGCCTTCCGCCATCTTGATTTGATGGTACCCTGAAAACATGTCCAGGAAGCTGAGCGCTTCATGGTTGGCGGTCCCATCGATCAGCTGATCAATGCGCGGGAGGGGGTATGCATCCTTAGGGCAAGCCGCGTTGAGGCTGGTGAAGTCGATACACATTCTCCAGGTGCCCCCTGCCTTGCGTACGAAGACTGGGTTTGAAAGCCAAGTGGGATATTTCACCTCACGGATGAACCCCGCTTGGAGCAGTCTTCGGACTTCTTCTTCGAGAGCCATTTGTTTCTCCACGGATAGGTGCCTTCTCCGTTGCTGTATAGGCCGTGCTTTGCTTTTGACGGAGAGGTGATGCTCAGACACCTTTCGGGGGACGCCGGGCATGTCTTCCGGTCCCCAGGCGAAGAGGTCTTGGTACTCTCGGAGGAGTGTCAACAGCTTTCGGGCCTCCTCAGTGGCCAAATGCGCGGATATGCGGACGGTCTTGTCTGGTTGATCTTCATTAAGGGGAACCGCTATATCTCCTTCTACGGCTTCAGGTCGGGGAACGTCATCTCTGGCGTCGACGAGGTCGACTTCCAGGCGTTCAATGGTCGCTTGATAGCACTCCTTGGCCTCTTTCACGTTGCCCCGGACGCGTCCTGTTTGCCTTCCACTTGGAAATTTCAGCATTTGATGGCATGTGGAAGCGACCGCCTCGAATGAGGCTAGGAAACCGCGTCCCAGGATGGCATTGTAAGCTGAAGGACAATCCGCCACGTGGAACTCCACCTGCTTGGTTTTGGTGATTCCTCCTTCGCCTATAGTGACCTTGAGTGTGATTGACCCAAGGACACGGACCTTCGTCCCCGAAAATCCTACTAGGCTGGTGTTGGAGGGGTTGAGGTCTTGGATACTCTTCTTCATGCCTCGGAGCGCTGAGTAGAAGAGGATATCAGCGGAGCTTCCATTGTCGACGAGGGCTCTTGTGACTTTGAACTTATCGGTTCGGAACGAGATGACTAAGGGGTCTTCTGAGTTCTCCTCTTTGGCTAGCTCCGACGGTAGGAAGGTGACATCCGGCGATGCCTGGCGTTGGACGCTTAAGCAGTGGCCTAGGCGGTCGGCCTCCGTTCTGGGCCGCTTCCTACCCCCCGCGATCGTAATGATCTCCATGCCTTCGTCATCTCCCCTTGGGGGTCGGTATGCGGGAGACTGCCTCTGCGGCGAGGCGTTCTTGTTCCTTGTGGACGATCTGGACCTCTCTTTACGAGCTCTTCTTGGTTTGTCTTCCTCCGGGCTGAGTGAATCTTCCCTTCCCTCTTGGGAGGTGCCCCGATGACTTCGTCGTGTTTCGAGGCGGTTTCGCAGATCTCCAGGAGCTAAGTACTTCAAGCTGGCTTTGAACTCCCGACACTCCGTTGTGTCATGAGTTGTCATTTGATGCCAGTCGCACCACTTTTTCCCTTCTTGTGGTTCCTGCCCTGAGGACGCTTCCGGCTTTCTCCCGCTCCTTCGCCTTTCTCTTCCCCTTTCTCGTTCGGTGGAGTAGACTTCTCTTTTACCGTCGCGGTCTGCGTACCGGTTTCGGTACGATTTCCGCTCAGGAGACCGCCTTCCTCGTCGAGCGTCCGACCGCTCTTGTGGGTCGTTTCGGGATCGCCCTTGATGGTTTCGGTCGTCAGTGGCGAGAGCTTCTTCAAGTAAGATGGCTCTTCTTACCAATTGATCTAAGTCTGACCATGACGTTAACATGGCTTCCTTTTTTATCAACGTTCTCTTGAGCTCGAGGCTGGTTGTCGATATCCTGAGGTTTCCGGCGGCTACGACCGAAGAGATCCCGTCGATTTCGCAAGCGATCGCATTCCATCGGTCGTAGAACTCCGCAAGCGATTCTTCTTTCTTCTGTCTGCAATTCATGAGTGCCGAGACCGTGAGTTTGCGGCGTCGTTGGGACGCGAACTTTGTGGAGAAAAGCATCGCGAATTGTTCGAAGTTTTCTATCACCCCTTCCGGGAGGGAAGTATACCACGTCCGGCATTGACCGCTGAAGGTGACGGGGAACGCGCGGCACAAATCAGAGTCTGTGGCGTTGATGAGTTGCATCTTCAACATGAAAGCGCAAAGGTGGTCGGCGGGATCTGAGGTCCCGTTATACGAGGGTAGCCCAAGAGAGGAGAAATTGGGCGGCACTGGGGTTTTGAACAGCTCCCTCGAGAGCGGATTTTGGAGGACGTTGGGACTTTTGTGTTTCCCATAAGTCGACCGTAAGTGTTCTTCGAGGAAACCCAGGTCGGCTTCGTCCGCCCCCTGTCCCCCGCCTTCTGTCCGAGCAGGGCTGTCGAGGATCAGGGCGGCCTTTAGCTTTTCTTCTCGAGTCCTTCCTTTCGACCCCTCCGGCGGGTCTTCTCTTGTCTTTAGCAACTGGAGGATTTGCGATAGGCTATCTTGCATGCTTGCAATTTGTGCGCCTTGGCTTTTGACTACCTCCTCAAGCTCTAATTCATCTTCAACTCTCGGTGATAGACCTCGGAGGGTGTTGTTCTCGGTCATACCCTTGAGCGGGGTTTCAAAGTCGTCTCCCATCTTTTCCTGGTGACGAAGTAGTGTGCCCCACGGTGGGCGCCAAAATGTTTATGCCTGGAAAGTACCAGGCGGTTTGTGAAGCTCACTGACTCCGTGCGGTCTTGGGAGGATGAGAGGCGACCTTCGAAGTCCTGCAAGAAAGGTCCTCAGGGGAGCCCTGGGACCTCCTCCGATGCCTAAGTTAGTGAGAGAAGTAGGTAGAGTGAAATAGAGAGAGAATGGGGTAGATAGAGTTACCATAAATGTGATCCGTTGGTGGGTATTTATACTAACGAGTCTGATGAGTGAGGACAAGTCTCGTCGTGTCGGGCGGCTTTACCTTCTGTCGGGCGGCCCTTGGACGCCTCTGACTTCTCATAAATGCATGATCAGTTCTGCCCTCTTGCCAGTATTCGTACTCTGTTGTCAGGTCGTTGGTACATACCTGCTGTCGGGCGTCCTGCTCATACTCCTCTTAATGTCGGGCGGTCTTCTCATGCTCGAGGGTTAGACCGCCTCTTGGTACCTCAGGTTGAGTTTATTGACTTTGATGGTCCTTTTGGCGATTATGGGCTTGGGGGCCCAAAGGCCTTAACGATTGCCCTAACAATGATAATAATGACTTGCAGGCGAGGAGGGAGTTGAGTGAGATAATGGGGGGCATAATCGGGGAGAGGAAAGAGAAGAAGGTATTGGAGAAAGATGTGTTGGGTTGTTTGCTGAATTCCAAGGACTACAAAGGGCAAGTACTGACGGACGACCAGGTCGCCGACAACGTCATCGGAACTCTGTTCGCCGCTCAGGACACGGAGAGCGGATCTGGTGACTAAGGGGGGGTGCTTAGTCACTTGGCTAAACCCCCCTCAGCCATTGGATCCTTATTAATTGATCTAATGGTGGAAATAAGGGAAGGGATGATTAAATAATGAGAGGGGCAATTTTGGGATTATGAAAATTTTATTTAATTTTTTTTTCTCCAGCCAGTCTTCTTCTGCGTCTGATGGAAGAACGCCGCCCATGAGAGAGAGAAGGGGAGAACGCCGGCGATGATGGAAGATCGACGGTGCCGGCGACGACGACAATGGAGATCGACGGTGCCGGCGACGACGAAGAGAGGGAAAGGAGAACGAACGTACAGAGGCGGCGGCTTTGAAGAGAGAGAAAGCAGATCTCGTCGTCGGGAAACCAGAGGAGAGAGAGAGACAATGGAGAGGCGGCGGAGAGAGAGCGCCGGCGACAATGGAGGAGAGAGAGGCGGCGCGACGATGGAGAGAGAGAGAGAGAGGTTGCGATGGCAGTAGATTGAATCAGCGGCGGCAGCGGTGGAGAGAGAGTCGACGGCGGCGGCAGCGGTGAAGAGAGAGTCGTCTGAAGGAAGAACAGTGATTTGTATAGTTTGTATGTTTTGTAACATTAGTTTGTATTGTTAGTATTTTTGTACAAAATGTCAGTATGGTTTGTATGTTTTTCTTTGACAGTTTGTACTCTTAGTATGTTTTTCTTTGACAGTTTGTACTCTTAGTATGTTTTTCTTTGACAGTATGGTTTGTATGTTTTTCTTTGACAGTTTGTACTCTTAGTATGTTTTTCTTTGACAGTTTGTACTCTTAGTATGTTTTTCTTTGACAGTTTGTATTCTTAGTATGTTTTGCTTGTATTCTTAGTATGTTTCGCTTTGTATTGTAAGTACTAATAATTTGTATACTTTATATGTATTGATTTGTGATGCAAAAAACATTACAAACATGGTTGACAAAAATGACAAACATATGGACAAAAATAACAAACATTACAAACAATACAAAAGAAACCAACAAACATTACAAACAATACAAAATAACAAACATTACAAACATTGCAAACAAACATTACAAACATTACAAACAAACATTACAAACAGTACAAAGCATACTACACGTACAGAATATCACTACTTACAATACAGATTGGTAAACTTGTATTACAAACAAATGAATACAAAGTATACAAATCATAACATAAAAGTATACAAACATTACAAACATTGCAAACAAACATTACAAACATTACAAACAAACAAATGAATACAAAGTATACAAATCATAACATAAAAGTATACAAACATTGCAAAATAACAAACATGACAAACAAACATTACAAACATTACAATGTATACAAAATAGTAATATAAACATTACAAACATCACGAACTCAATACTGTTGTCGGAAAATCATCCACCACCGTCTCTGGTCGCCGGAAAACTGCTCCGCCGTCGCCGGAAAAGTTCTCTCTCTCTCTCTCTCTCTCTCTCTCTCTCTCTCTCTCTCTCTCTCTCTCTCTCTCTCTCTCTCTCTCTCAGGGGAAGGGGAACGTATTTCCTGGGACAAAAAAATATGGTGGAAGGGGAATATAATATTCCCAGGACAGGAACCGACGATTCTCTCTTGGGAAAAAAAAATGGTGGCCGCCGGAAATCCTGGACGGCGGGAGTACGCCGGAAAAGTTTGAGCGGCAGCGGGGAGGAAAGTGCCGCCTCTTTTTAATTTTAATTATTATAATATAAAATAATCATGAACTATGCAATTACTTCATTACCCTTCATTAAATTGAATTAATTGGAGCCATTAGATTTTAATGAGGTTGAAGGGTTGGGATCGACTTAGGCAAGTGACTAAGGGACCCCCCCTTAGTCACCTGATCTTATCCCCAGGACACGACGGCCTGCGCCATGACGTGGATTGTCAAGTACCTCCACGACAACCCGAAGCTTCTCGAGGCTGTCAAGGTAATAAACGACGCCGCTTCGTTTTTTGATTTTGGGTGGCGGCGGTGTAGCTCTAGAAATCTCTCGTTGTTGCATAGCATTAGAATAAACTCTGCTGTTGCATATATAGGCCGAACAGAAGGCAATTCAGGAGGTGAATGGAAGGGACGGCAATGATAATGCGGCGTTGAATTGGAGTCAAACTCGTAACCACATGCCCTTCACTCACAAGGTAACCTAAAAAAATTGTTAATAAGTAATCTATGAACCAATTTTGCATGTTACTTGATTCTATGCTACTAATTATTAGCTAACAAATGATTTCAGGTGGTTTTAGAGAGCCTAAGGATAGCAAGCATTATATCTTTTACATTCCGGGAAGCGGTGGCCGACGTGGAATACAATGGTACCCTTCACAAAGTTTTACTATATAAACACACATAATGAGTTGGTTGATACATCGCAATATATAGAGAGGTTGGTCAGTATGACATACGAATAATTTGGAATATCACAAAATCGACTATAACACAACTCGTTATACCTTAGAGATAGATTGAGATGAGATAACAACCAATGGCCAATGGGGTTAATGTTTTGTGGCATTATTTTGGTATTATGGAGAGTGATCCGTGATTGAGATTTGATTTTTTTTTTTTTTGTGTGTGTGTGTGTGTTTGTGTGTGCTATTTTTAGGTTACCTTATTCCAAAGGGCTGGAAGGTGATGCCCTTGTTCAGGAACATTCATCACAATCCAGAATATTTCAGTGAACCTCATAAATTTGATCCTTCGAGATTTGAGGTATGTATCAATGTATCTGTGATTGTGTGTGGATCAAATCTGTTTTTTTTTCCCCTCCTTCCCAAAATGATATTGGAGATGTGGGGATATTGATCTCAGTTTTAACCTGTTTCCCTACAGGTGGTACCAAAACCCAATACATTTATGCCATTTGGCAATGGGGTACATGCCTGCCCTGGAAATGAGCTTGCTAAGCTGGAGATGCTTATTTTCATCCACCATTTGGTCACCAAGTTCAGGTAAAAACATTCATATGAAGTTTAAAAAAAAGAAGATCTTGGAGAATATTTCTGGAGCAACAAAAATATTTGGAATATATTTTGATTTTTTGGTGCTTTTATATATGTCCTAGCTAATTCAATTGGATATTGCAGGTGGGAAGTGGTAGGATCTGAGAGTGGGACACAGAACTGCCCATTTCCAGTACCAATGAATGGACTCCCAGCAAGATTTTGGAAACAAGTCCCCAGCAGCTAGGTTTAAGATATATATAGTAGTAGAGATTATTATCAATTTGGGTCATGATTTACCCATATAATTAGCTTATGTAGAGTAATTTTCTTCCCCTTTTTAAGTTTTTGTGGCCCCAATTTTGGCCATTATTTATCAATATCTTATCCAATTAACGGGGAGAAAACCCCTATTAGGGGATGATGCTAAGATGAGTGATTCCCAGCCAAATCCTTTTTCATCGGCTGTATTTTTCCTATGTAGAATCTTACCAGTTCCATTATCAGTTCTAGATCTAGTTTGTAGTTCTTCAACCCAAGCACTTAATGGTAGTTTCTCCATTTCATAATTCATGCACTTAGTTCTTATTTTGATGAAATGTTGGGTGTTCCATGTTTGGTTCAAAATAATTTGTGTCTACATATATATGTTACTGGACTCGTGAATTGTGTGAGATTGAGCAAAAGGTTCTTCTTTTTATGTCCCTTAAATTTTAGGATGATTATTGAATCTCATATTATCTAATTAATAGCTCTCTTGTTATAAAATGATCATATCTTTGTACTTTTATTTTCGATAAAATTCATGCTCTAAATCGGATATAATTTCTCAATGTAAGATTCTTTATCTCTCAGGTCTTCAAATAATTTAAAACAACCATCGAGTTATTATATGTACAACTTTCTTTCCAAATAATAAACGATAGAATCTTGACAAACTATATCGAATTAATTTTGTGTGCACACCCTTTCCCTTATCGATATAAGTAGCCAAATACTGGTGGATCTTGCCACTTTAAATCCACATATATACCATGAAAAATTGAGATATAGATATGTTAGAAACGCGTTTTCCTTAAGAAAACGGGGTTTCTACCATAATTATCATTATTGTTATTATTAGGTTTTATTAAATATGGTTAGTAATTTTTTAGTAGAATTAGATTTATTATTAGGTTTTCCTATCTTTCCTATAAATATGTAATCTAGGGTTCATTATCAATCAAGCAAGAACAATTATTCAGAAAAGTATCTCAAACCCTAATCTCTCTCAAATTCGTCACTTATCCCTAGGCCGTCGGCCATTCTTCTCCTCGATCCCCAATTTCCTCTTCCAAATCCCTAATCCCCAATTCTGTTCTTCTCCAATTCTATCTCGATCCCTAAATATCTATCAATTCCCAATCTTATCAACCGACCGTTAGAACCCTAAAATTAGGTTTCTAACAAGATCCTACCCCTCGGGACAGAAATCCAAACACGGACACAGTTTATAGATCCTACATTTGGATTATAAATCCTACTCTCATGGAACCGAGTGATAAACAACTATAAACTACAGCTTGGAAGAAAGATGACTAGAAAGCATACCCAAGCGACCAGTGTAGTCAAAATCGCGTTTTAAAGCATAAAATCGTACGATTTTACGTTTCTAGGGTAGGAAAACGTTTCAAATCACTAATAAAATCGTATTTTACTCAAAATCAGTCAAAAGCATTAGTAGAATCGTTAAAATCGTTAAAATCAGATAAAAGCGCGCTTTCATATCGTTTTTATCCGATTCCAAGCAAAGGAAAAAATTGTCTCCGCCAAACAAAAACGACGCCATTTTGATCACTTCGGACAAAAAAAGGGGGGGGGGGAAAGGGATGGATATTAGGCTGAGGTTGCCAAACCACTCTTCCGCAATCCCTAATCCTCCATCTCCAGCACTCCAGCACACTCTGCGCCGCCGCGCAGCCGGCCTTCTAGTGAAGTATTCGCCGCCGCTGCAAGTCCGCAACCGCCGTCGCCACCTTCCAGCGAAGCTCTAGCCCGTCGCACTCGATAGCTCCAACGCGGCAACACCCGTCGCACTCGTCGTCGCCTGTCGCAACTCGCTGCGCCACACCATGTTAGTTTCTGTCTCTATCTTGTCCTACCCCGTCGCCACTTCACCTATGACTCGTAAATGGTGGGTAAATGCTTCCCCTTCTCAACTCTTAGTCCACCCTGAACATATAACCTAGCAGGTATTTCTAGCTAAATTACAAATCACACATTCTCAATAATTTAAACTAACCCAGCAAAATGAAGGAAACTACTTATAATTTCCAATAGGCGTATAACCTACTGGTTTACCTACGTATGCTACTGCTAAATTATGTATATGTGGTGTTTCTAATTGAACCTTTGAGAAACCAAGGGCAGAATGTGAAGCTAATGTTGTGAGAATTTGGTTATTAACTCGTTTGTGGGTTACAGTTTATGTTTATGAACTTATTATTAAGATGTTATGAATTTGCTTTAATTTGGACATGAATTGCATGTATTTATTCACTTGTCTAAACTCCATGCACTCATATTTTGCATAATACATGTTGTACTTAACAGATTTTTCACTATTATACATGATGCATAAAAAACTTACGCTTTTACGCTTTGATTCGCCGCTTTTCGATTTTACCCCTTTTCCGCTTTTAGGTAGAATCGCGCTTTTGACTGCATTGCAAGCGACTAAACCTCATACTCATTGTTTGGAGAATGAAAATCATAATTAGATCCAGATAACCTTACTCTATCTAGTAATTAGTTCATTTGCTTCTTCTCTTGATATATTTGAGAAATAAGGACACCACTATCCCACTTTAGGTTTGTTTGGTTGATTGCATGCTTGCTCTCTTTCGTCTTTCACCAGACGTCTTATATACACTGTTCATCTTTCTTTGGTTGGACATTCCCCTAAAATCAAATGGCATCCCCACTGGCGCATATAACTTGGTGTGTGGCAGCTACCACTCGATTCTATAATCGTCGGGAATATGGCAATCCGCCGCGTGTCACCTTGAGAGACAGCTAGCCACCACACAAATGTATCGGCGGATCCAAGGGGCCGCTTCGGGCCGCGGCCCAGCCCTCCTCTGGATCTCGAGCTAGTATAATGTTAGAAACCGATTTATATCGGATTTCTATATTTATGGTTATAATTATTATTAGGGTAATTCCTATTATGGTTAGTAGTCTTCTAGTAGAATTAGGTTTATTCTTAGGGTTTCCTAGTATTCCCTATAAATATGTACTTTGAGTCTACGTTACGATCAGTCAAGAAAGAATTATCAAATAATCTCCTAAACCCTAATCTCTCCCTATCCTCTCAATTCTCGATCCCTATCCCTCCAAGGCCTCGGCCGATTCTCTATTCTATTCTTCTTCTTCCCCAAATCCCCAATCTCAATCCCTAATTCTATTCGTATAAACCCTAATCCCCAAATATCAAATCCGTTAGAAACTTTGTTTCTAACATCTGGTATCAGAGCCCGGTTCCGATCGGTGAGTTCTTCTCAACTCCATCAGGGACAGCTTAGAAACCGGAGAATCGACGATGGAAAAATCAGAGCAGCCATGGGCCCAGTTGCAAGAAGAGTTATGGCAAATCGCGAACTCCTGGAAGAGGGAGTCGGCGCGAGGCGCCGCGGCAGAGAAGGAGGGCGCGCGGCTGGCGGCGCTCGCTGACGCCGACCGAGGCGACGAAGCGGGACGCGGCTCGCGCGTCTGGGCGAGCGGGGCGGAAGGCGGCGGCGTGGACGGAAGGGCCGCGGCCGAGGGGCGCGCGACGGCGCGCGGAGCAGAGGACGGCAACGCGGGGGAGCGCTCGGCTGCGGAGGCGGCGTCGACCGACGAGGAGGCGGTGACGACGAAAGACGGCAAGGAGCTTTCTCGTGCGTCGCCGGAGAGGGAGAAGAAGAATGAGGGCGAGGACGACGGCGGCGGGACCCTTTTGTCGCCGATGAAGGAGCTGGAGAAGCAGGCGCACAGGCCGGTGGGAGTCGTGGAGACGGCGCGGGCGACAAGCAGAGGGATGGCTGATCAGGTGGTTCGCCGCGAGCGAAAAGGGGAAGCACGGAAGTCGGTGGCGGCCATCGACGAGGAGGTGGCGCCGGATGCACGAGGGGAGTCACGCCGGAGGAGCTGTTGGCCTGAGAAGAGGACAAAGAGGGAGATGGAGGAGGGCAGCGGCGACTGCTCCCTTCTCAAGAACCCTGGCTCGCCCACTTTGGGCTGGCCGTACCAGCAGCCATTGTTGGGCCGAGTGACGCGGGCCGCAGGCTCTAATGGGCTCAATGGAGTGGTCTAGTTTGAGGAAGACACAATGCAGACTGGGTTGACCTGCGATAAGGGGTTAGTGGGCCTACTTCTTGGGTCACAAATGGGCCAGTTTGGTAGTGGGGTGGCAAGGATAGAGGGAGTTGGTGGGCTCGACTCGGGCCATGAGAGTCAGGAAGGGTGTGAGCCCAACATGGGCTATGGGTTGAGAAAGGTGAAATTAGAAGAAGGGTTTGGAGGCTTAGTGGGTGGGCTTTCAAGGAAGAATGGCCCAGAAGCAATTGGAGAAGCTTTAATACAGGCTTATGAGCCTTCTCCAAGAAAGAAGTTCAGGGGCCTTGAGGAATTGGCACTTAATGATAAATTCCTATACGAGGAAGTATCCTTAAACTTTGTTAGTGGTTGGAGCAGGATGACAACAAGAGAGGAACTGCTGAAGTTCAAAGCGATTAGTGGGCCCATAGAAGTGAAAGTCGAAGAATTACTTCAACACAAGAAAGTCGGTGGAAGAAGCCCAATTTCGGAGTTGGAGCACGATTGGAAGAAAAGAAAACGCAAGAAGGATGTGAATTACCCGGAGGACGTGGCAGAGTGGGTCCAGTCGGTCAACCTTGATGACAAGGTTGGTCTGAAGGGGGAGGAGATGTTAGAAACCGATTTATATCGGGTTTCTATATTTATGGTTATAATTATTATTAGGGTAATTCCTATTATGGTTAGTAGTCTACTAGTAGAATTAGGTTTATTCTTAGGGTTTCCTAGTATTCCCTATAAATATGTACTTTGAGTCTACGTTACGATCAGTCAAGAAAGAATTATCAAATAATCTCCTAAACCCTAATCTCTCCCTATCCTCTCAATTCTCGATCCCTATCCCTCCAAGGCCTCGGCCGATTCTCTATTCTATTCTTCTTCTTCCCCAAATCTCCAATCTCAATCCCTAATTCTATTTGTATAAACCCTAATCCCCAAATATCAAATCCGTTAGAAACTTTGTTTCTAACATATAACACTTGTAATTTCCAATTTTTGGTATTCGTTTCAGTGTTTTTCACCTTACGGCCCAGCCATCTCCATCTTTTTTCAAAAGTGGCCTAATATTCTACCCTGTCCTGGATCCGTCGCTGGCTATTCCCCCTCTCCTTTCCTCTTTGAGAGGCAACCAGGGCTCACAGGGAAGGTCATGATGTACGTTGCAAACTTGCTTTTGCCCTAAGCAATTGTTCACTTATTGAAGGAAAAGTAGTCATCAGCTTTGTGGCTGGAAGGAACCAGTCGCCTATTCTCCTCTTTGGTTTGGTACACAAAGATCACAAAGCCTTTTCAAGACTTTATCTGATCTGATCTCATGACCCTGCAAAATGATGGAGCTTGATTATACCCTATAACAACAAATATTGCAAAATAATGACTCATAAGTGATCAGTTTTCGCGAAAGAAACTATGATGAACTTATGCTATTAAACAATCTCAATCCGTATGAAATGCAAACTGGTTATCCTATGAAAGCAAGAATTGAGAACTACGTTCTTGAAACATAGGTCCCAATCTAGCTAGTTTCAGGCCCTGTAAAGTTCGTACATGCGATAGTTATGTACTCGAACATCTCAATGCATATGTTTCTCATCTTCGTCTTTTCTTTTCTTTTTAATTTGGCTATAAATAGAATTTACCACTAATACTCCACTATATATATATATATACACACTGAAGAGGAATACTGGAGTAAAGTCCATCAAAATCAATCAAACTACTATAACTTAACGACTTATCGTGACACTATTAAACTAAGAAATCTTTTTGATACAGGTCTCCACCCTCATCATTCACCCTTCTTTCCTTCAAACGAAATCTTGAAAATGAGAAGAATTCACTGCTGAAATTTACACTTTCTTAATGGCTTAATTGCAAGTTTGGTCACTCGAATTGCTACAAAATTTCACGTTTGCCACTCAAATTAATTTATTCCATTTATAGTCACTTAAATTAGGTTAACAGTCCAAGTTTGGTCACTGGCCGTTAGTCTCCGTTAACTTTTGCTGATGTGGCGGTCAACTCTTATAGTTGACCGTTAAATGCATGACGTGGCAATGAAAAAATTTAAAAAATTTAAAAAATTAAAAATTAGAATTTCCACCTCAACTATTTAAAAATAATAAAAATAATAAAAAACCTTTTCTAATCTAACCTCGGCTCGGGTTGCTCCTGGAATCTACCGGAGACGAAATGTATCTTAAACACCGCCGACTCCAAAAACAGAGCAACACTCAGTGAACAAAAAAGTCAGGAGCTACTATTCCTCCTGCAAATGCAATGGCGGCGGCGGACAATATTGATGTAGGTCTGTGAGAAGACGGCGGCGGGGGATTCGTGGGAGAATGGTTAATAGGGAACTTGACGAGAGCGACGCTAAGAAAGTAAAAATGGCCGCGAGATAGCGGAAATAGACGACAGCGATTCTGAGAGTTATCAAATAGACGTATTGCTGCTCTGCTCTACTCTGTTGTGTATTTTTTTTGTTTCGTTCCGTTTTGTTCTCTTTCATACAGACTACGGCCAAAAATCAAACCAATTGATGTTGCTATTCATGATTTCTGGACTACTTATTCAAACTTGTCTATTAGGCTCTCTACTGTTTGCAATCAAAATCTGTGGACGAAAATTTTTGGTTGGACTTGTAGGGAATTGGCTATGTTGGGATTGGGAACCTACTTGCATTGAGATGCTGGACTAAATTGTTATGGCATAATCTTCAGTTCTTCGCCATTTGAGCTAGCTTCCAGGAAAACTTGAGGTCGTTCTCCATCTACTGGAACACCAGACCACTACAAGTTCACAGTCTTTCCTTCTTCTCCAAAAACAGCGACAGCAATATCGCCGCCGCGTTCTCCTTCCCCCTCGGCTGCCCGGTCCTCAACAGATCGATCAGCACCGGGATCGTGCTCACCTTCACGATCGCCGCTTTCGCTTCAGCATTGCTCGATAGCACCGACAGTATCGACAATGCCTTGTGCCCTTGTCCACCATTGCCGCCCCTCTCGAATCGGTCAGCATTCGGAGCAACGCCGGTACGATCCCGGCGTGCACCGCCCTGCCTTTGTTCCCTTGGTAGATGCACAGGTTGAACAATGCCGACGCCGCATCTTTCTTCCCTCTGCTGCTCCCCTGCTCCAGCAGCTCCACTAATGCTGGAATCGCCCCCGAAGCTCCGATTATGATCTTGTTCTCGTCGCCCAGGGACAAACTGAAGACGGTTGCTGCCGCGTTTTCCTTCGTTTCCCTGTCACCGCTCCAACCCGAGTCAGGTCTTGGTCCGGTAGATTCCAGGAGCAACCCGAGCCAAGGTTAGATTAGAAAAGGTTATTATTATTTTTATTATTTCTTAATAGTTGAGGTGGGATTTTAAATTATAATTTTTTTTTTAAATTTTTAAATTTTTTAATTGCCACGTCATGCATTTAACGGTCAACTATAAGAGTTGACCGCCACATCAGCAAAAGTTAACGGAGACTAACGGCCAGTGACCAAACTTGGACTGTTAACCTAATTTAAGTGACTATAAATGGAATAAATTAATTTGAGTGGCAAATGTGAAATTTTGTAGCAATTCGAGTGACCAAACTTGCAATTAAGCCCTTTCTTAATTCTTACCAATTCACATGAGCCATCTCCACAATGATTGACCATTGACAAGTCCTCAAAATTTTACCATTTCCCCTTCAAAGCCATGAAAGAAAAGCTTACCATTTCTGTGACAGGTTACAAATGCAGGGTCATCAAGTAACACACGTGAATCTGTAATGATAAATACGTGGGGGAAAGCACAGAGAGTCCCAGTAGCCAGACTGACATCTTTGCCTTGCCTAGTTCTACTTTATAACTTCGGAAGAGAACTCACTGAGTCACTGTGTCCATGCAGTAACTTTTTTCCTGGTGTACCATTTTTGTATCATCAATTTATATACCAATTGAAGTAACCATTTGTCAGAGCAGTACCACACAGCAAGGTTTTAGCCTTTTTGGGCCACTTTTAGTAAAAAAAAACTGTTTAAGTACTATACATGGGATGGTATAAGATCCAACATAACCGTTTCTAAACAACTCAAGTTATTAGGATCAACTGGTTTATGACAAACTGATCCTTCTTTCGTAACAGCTCTTTCCATGGTGCCCCTATATATTTACCAAACATGTGTTGTCAGAAACCCCAGTAAAACAGACTGACAATCAAGGTTCTCAAACCGGTTTATACCATTGTCGGTTTAGTAATATGCGCTTTACAAGCCAGATCGATAATCCATATCGGTAAACTTTATGTACCTTCAAGAGAGCCTCAATAAGAGCAACTTGTTTGAAGCCCTGGACCTCATCCAGTGACACTAATACTTCAACTCCACACACATAGAACAGATTTCTACCAGGCTTGACGACATTACTACCATTTTCCGTTACAATGGTGATTGTTGACACCAAGATTCTAAACCCGTCTTATTTTTCTATTCATTTGATCTCCTGGTATATTGAACATTGAAGTACATATATCCAATCCATACAGCATCAGGATTAGAGTTGCTTCAGTTCTGGTTCCAGAATTGGGTAGATGCAGAATCAAGCTCATACCCTCTAATGTCTGCATTTATCATTCAAAATGCTAAAATAAGAGACTCTTTTTTTTTTTTTTTTTACAAATGGGCCATATACGTTGCAGTCTGAACTTGCATCAAGTTTCTTGAGCTGATGGAGAAGATGAAGACGTGTATTTAAGAATGGCCTCTGTAATCCGTAGGGATGGCAATGGGCCGGGTCGGGGACGGATAGTGCATATCCGTTACCCTACCCAAAGTAGTTCGGGTTTTACCCATATCCATACCCACGTGTGAAACGGGTAGAAAATTAAAACCATGCCCATACCCATTCGGGTTTCGGGTATCCACGGTTATCCATGGGTAATGATTTCTCATCATAACTCTAACCAGTAAGTTAACATTCACACGTATTCTCACATTACGTAAGAGGAAAAGTATGAAAACAATTCACCAGAATGAAGAAAATTAATTAAAACAACACAATTTCATGAAAATATTATATTTATATGCTAAATATAAAATATGTTAGAGAAAAATAATGATTATTTCTGGACAAAATACATATGTATGTGTATAATTGGGCGGGTGCGGGTTGGATAGTGAGAAACCCATGCCCACCCATCACCCGCAATATTCGGGTTCGGGTTTTACCCGTACCCACTCAATGTCCTTCGGGTTCGGGTTTTACCCTACCCGATTAGGCCGGGTTCGGGTGGATATCCATGGTTACGGATATTTTTGCCATCCCTAGTAATCCGCTGTTTGTCTCTGGTGGGAAATGCTTCCACCAACACCCCATCTTTGTAGAAATGGAAAAGCGGCACCGCCTGCAACCAAAATCCGGACCACATACAAAACAACATTACTAACACTTTATGTGTAACCAATTCCAAAGCCCCTCTCTAGACAACCAGAATCAAACAGAAGAAAAGATCTCCTTACCCTGATCCTAAGTCTGTCCGCAACCTCGGATTCTTCATCGTATTCATCAATCACCTGCAACGACGACGAGAACCAATTCATATCAATAACTCGAGACTATGAAGTGACATGAAAGAATTGATCTTGTTCTGTAATTACCCAGGTGCTGCATCGATTTATTCGTACGCAGAAGTCAGAACAAATAGATTGTAACTTCAAGTGCACGATTTAAACAATTGGGATAAACTAAATTCTTAACATGGTCGTACCCAAACTTCTCATGTCCAAATTTAGTAAATGTATGGAAGGTTGGAGAAGAAAAAAGAGAGTGCTCACATTGTGTTTGAGGAAGATGACGGGAGAGCCCTCTTCGCCGGAACCCTTGCAGAGCTTGGAAAACCCCTGTTCGATGTACTTGCAGCTCCCACACGAAGTCCTGTAGAAATCCACCACCACAAGCGCCCCAGTCGCCTTTGATTTCTCGATCACCTTCAGCAGTTCCTCGTCCGTCTTGAATTCCCTCACGCATTCCACCGGACACAGCTCGTCTTCTTCTTCTTCTTCCTCCTCCTCAATCGCCGCCGATAGTACTTCCCCTGGGTTCCCGCCGGAAACCTCGCGCTGGATAGGCCGCCGCCCCTGGATTCTAATTCTCGGCCTGATTACTCTACCCGCCGGTTTCTGGATCAGACCACCGATTCTGATGGGTCGGTCGAATTGGGGATCCGGGTTGGTTCCGAATCTGGAATAGGGTTTGGAAAATGGGATTTGCAGCTTTTCCATAGCAGGAACAATTTCTGGGTCTGCTTGAAATGGCGACGCAAAATCTCTTCCAGAGTCGATGATTTCCACAGAGGGAGAGGAAGATAAAAGTATAGCTTCAAGTTTTATCCTCTGCTAACCTATGAATATTTTCCAGAGTCAATGATTTCTGCTGTGAATTGTGGCATTGTAGGGGTTAGGGTTATGACTAGTGTGGTATTGTGATTCAGCCATGGCGATGAAGGAAGTGGGAAGGAGCGCTGACCTGTGAGGTGGAGAAATGGGTGGCGCGGCTTTTTGGCTTGCCATATCCGAATCCGTGAGGTGGAAAAGCTTTGGCGTAGCTTCGAATGGAAAGAAGCCACGACACTCCTCCCTATCCGTGAGGTTTTTTTTTTTTTGACAAAGATTACCAACTTTTATTCCACCAATCAACTGAAAGACGAGAAACTCGGTTACAACAATTAGAGAAGATCAGAAATGAGATCAAGAATATTAATCCAATCATCAGGAAGCGATGCACGAGCTTTTGATCGTGCTACCCAATCTGCTCTGACATTAAGTGTTCGGGGCACTTCTTTGATATTGATGAGAGGGTTTGTCCTTAGGATAGAAACAATCGATCCGATCCATGCTGCACACCTCCATGGCCATCTAGAGCGATCACTATCCAAAGCTTTCACCAACACCTGACAGTCGGATTGAACCGTACATTCGGATCCATATTCTTGAGCTAATTTCACTCCTTCGAGAAGGGCCTTAGTTTCTGCTTCAATCGGGGTGGAACAAAGAAGATTCTCAGCTCTCCCATCACACACTTGTCCATGGTGGTTAATGACCACAACACCATATGCCGCCGACTGGGAGTCGCTAATGAACGACCCATCACAGTGAATCACCAAAGACTGATTACTTGGCGGTGGATTCGTATGAGACTGGGTTCCCCTGAGCTGAGTGGGAAGGGAGGGCAGGGGAGGTGGGGACCTCGGGCACGAATTCCATTCAGAGACCTCTTTATAAGTAAGTTGGCACACCCTCGGAGGCCACGGAATTCTATTCTTGAAGGAGCATTCGTTCCTCGCCTTCCAGATGTTCCAACAGAGGAAAACCATATGGATCAAGGAGCTCTGCTGAATAACATCCTTAAGGGAGCAGAACCAGTCAAAGAACAAGGTTCCCTGAGGAGGTAAAGGGAGAGACGGAAACAGAGCATTCCATGCCGCTTTGGCATGGGGGCAATGGAACAAGCAGTGATTGATGGATTCAACGGGGTTCTGGCACACCTGACAAGACGAATTGGGAGCACACTTCCTCTGGAGCAGTCTCTCTTTCGTAGCTAACCCATTCCTGGAGCATCTCCAGACAAAGAATTTCAACTTAGGGGGAATGTGAAGGCTCCATATCCACTTCCATTTTTCTGTATTCCCGCTCGGTTGCAGATTGGTGTTGGCTCTGTGAATCGTATGGTACGCAGACTTCACCGTGAATTTTCCCTCTTCATTGTAGTTCCATGCCCAAAAGTCCTCAGCTCCATCCTCCCCGATTGGAATCCTAAGGATAGCTTCGAGTTCTGAGCTAGACACATGCCCCTGGATAACATCGGACATCCACTTCCTTTCTCCAGGATCAATCCACTCGTTGACCTTTTGGTGATTCTGGGGGCCCGTTCTGAGAGCATTATTGTCCAAAGTAGGAACCCAAGGGTCCCGATCGACCCACGTCTCATCACCTGATCCGATCACTCGAACTGCACCCAAACCAATCACCTTTTTTGCCTCCCAAAGACTAGCCCAGATCCATGAAGCTTTGCTCCCTTTTTTTGCATTAAGAAAATCACCTCTAGGGAAGTACAAACCTTTCAGGAGACGGCTCCACAATGATTCAGGGGTCGTGAGGAGGCGCCAAGCCTGCTTAGCAAGTAGGGCAAGGTTAAAATCATTGAAGCTCCTGAAGCCCAACCCTCCCTCACTCTTAGGCAGGCATAGAATTTCCTTCCTACACCAGTGGAGGCTATTTTTCTGCATAGACCCTGACCAAAAGAAGTTGCTGAGAAGAGAGTCCATTCTCTTAGTGAGTACCTTAGGTAGATAGAACAGGCACATAATATACGATGGAATGGCTTGAATAACCGCTTTCAGTAGGATTTCTTTTCCACCGTGAGAGAGTAGGAGACTTTTCCAGGCTTCCCCCATTTTTTCCATTCTTTGAATGAGGAAAGTAAAAGTTTCTTTCTTCGAGTTTCCCCATTCCGTCGGGACCCCAAGATACTTAGAGTGGCAATTCGAGGGAGCAAAACCAATGCTCGCTATGATCTGATCTTTGTCGTCGCTGGGGACATTGGCACTGAAGAAGACTGAAGATTTGTTCGTATTAACCTCTTGTCCTGTGATAGCTCCATATTCCCCAATGAGGCTGATAATATTCTGCGCTTCTTGGTGATCTGCCTTGCCGAAAATAACTGTGTCGTCTGCAAAGAGGCAGTGGGTGAGCACTGGGCATCTAGCGTTCAGTTTAATCCCCCTCAGACAATCGTTTGCCACCGCCTTATCAATCAAGAAGGTGAGGGCGTTTGACATGAGAATGAATAAGAATGGTGAGAGTGGGTCTCCCTGACGAATGCCTCGGGAAGGCCTGAAGGAGTCAGTTGCTTCTCCATTGAAAAGAATAGAGAAGCTGACTGTTCTAATGCAGGCACTTACCCACCCACACCATTTATTGTCAAACCCATACTTCTTGAGAAGAGCCTCCAGACAATCCCAATCCACCATATCATATGCCTTTTTCATGTCCAATTTCAACATCATATCTCTCCTCCTACCCAATTTATGGTTCTTGAAATGATGAAGGGCTTCATGTACAATGATGACATTATCTTGGATAAGCCTACCTCAGGTGAATGCTGTTTGGAGCTCTGAAACCAGCTCGGGAGTCCATCTCTTGAGGCGCGTTGCCATAATCTTAGATATGATCTTGTATCTAAAATTACAGCAGCTAATAGGTCGAAATTGGCTTATCTGCTCGGGGTTATCGACCTTGGGAATCATAACAATATGAGTCTCATTCCATCCCGCCGGCATTGTAGCCGTATCAAAGAATCCTCTAACTTCCCGACACAAGGTGTCTCCTAAGATATCCCAGTATCTCCTATAAAATCTTCCTGAGAATCCATCAGGACCAGGAGCTTTGCGTGCACCCAGGGAGAAAACCGCTTTTCTAATCTCCCCATCGGTCACCGTAGCACAGAGATCCTCGTTCATCTCCGTAGTCACTTTTTCAGGGAAACCTTCCAACAGATGGTTAAAAGGAACCGGATTCCTAGCCTTAAAAAGATCCATGTAAAACTCTTCTGCTAGTCTTTTGAGACTTTTCTCATCTTCAATCCAATTTCCTTGTCCATCTTTGAGTTTCAGAATTCTGTTTCTATGCTTTCTAAAGATAGTGCTTGAGTGAAAGAAGGAAGTATTCTGATCACCTTTTTGTAGCCAGTTAACTCTCGAGCATTGACTCCAGAATGCTTCTTCATCCCTCCATAGCTTAGTCAGTTCAATAGTAAGCAGCTTCTCCTCCTCCACATTCTCAATCGTTCTAGGCGGATGTTGAAGAAGATCGAGCCTAGAAAGTATTTCTTGCTCTCTTTGCATACTATTCTTATGGAAGTCTTTTGCCCACTCTTTTAATTCTCTTTCACATTTGTTCAGCTGGACAGTTGATTGGCCTCCTGGGTCCCACGCTCGGGCTATTATCTCCTTGCATTCTTCTTTCTCCATCCATCTTTCATCAATCCTAAATGGTGTCTTCTTCCTCCTGTTTCCCCGATAATGAAGCTCCAGTCTGATCGGGCAGTGATCAGACTCCACCATTTTCTCATGGAAGACCACAGCTTCGCCAAATTGGGCTCGCCACGACGTTGAGCAGAGCACACGATCCAATCTCACTCTCGTCAGATTTTGGCCCGTTCTCTTGTTGGTCCAAGTGAAGGGCTCCCCTTTGTACCCCAGGTCAATAAGAGCATTCTGGAATATGAATCTCTTAAAAGGTTCTACATTCTCGTACCTAAGAGGGCATCTCCCCTCCTTTTCATTCTCATAAATTGCAGCATTAAAATCCCCTACAATCACCCAGTTATCATCCCTACTACGCCGCAGAGAGCTCAGGTGCTCCCAAAATTCCCTTCTACTAACAGCTGTAGAGGGTGCATGAACAAAAGTACAGAAAAATTTCCTACCCATATCTATACTAACATCCATGTAGTAGCTATCACTACTTAACACGGTAATATTAATACCCGCTTTCCACCATAAAGCAAAACCCCTAGAAGAGTTAACCGGTTCAACATACTCTCTATTGGGGAAAATTCTGAGACTTCTTAGGTCAACTACATTTTCCCCTCAACTTTGAACTATGGATTGGACTTTTTTATAACTAGGCCCATGAAGTATTGGGCAATTAGTAGTACGTTAAGCCTGGAAAACAGATTGAAAATGGGCCTAAGTGAGAGCCCATTTTGTGTACCTCTCGCCCATGAGAAAGATTTGAAGGAACGGGCCTAGTTTGTTGTGTATTCTCCTCCAGTATGCATTATGTCGAAGAAAACCAAAACTGTGTATAGCTTATCTCAAATCGTTGGGCTAGTAGTTATGTGTGTATAAAAACATTGATTATATTGTGCGTTTGAATTTTTACACCAAAATCTATCTAATTTTTTTTTTATCTATAACTAATAACTTTGTTCAAGACTTGTGAAATACACTAATATTTAGTAAGTGAAATCCTTTATATTCGTGAATAATCTCGTTATACTTGACGAAGTATCATATATGTATATCATTCCCACATCATTCAAAAATATTTTGGCCTTACATTTTGTAAGAGAGGCACCTCACGTCAAAGCAACCAATGCAGCTTTTGTCAGAGCCATCCCGAGACAGCGAGGGAAAGACTTCTTACGAACCAGGAGCGAGCTCGGAGGCACCTCACGTCAAGCAACCAATGCAGCTTTTGTCAGAGCCATCCCGAGACAGTCTTGCATGTGTTGCGAGACTGTCATTTTGCCAGGTTAACTTGGATGCAGCTCATCCCGCTTTCTGAGCAACACGCTTTCTTTGACAGTCACTTGCAGGATTGGCTCATCTCGAACCTCTGCCGTGAAGATACTTGCCTAGCATTCGGCCTGAACTGCTGGTCGCTTTGGAAGACCAGAAACGACCGCATCTTTGCCGGTAAGGTCGTTTCAGCTGAAGCATTTCTACAGCGCGTCCTGGCCTGGATAGATATTGTGAAGAATGCCATGGACAAAGACAGGCTTGTTCACATGCCTCGTCTGCCCGCTAGAACGGAGGTTGAGATCTCTTGGAAGCCGCCACCTCCCGAGTGGGTTACCCTCAACACTGACGGCTCTGTCATTCAGGAATCAGGTCGTGCCTCGGCAGGCGGCCTGATCAGAGATCATCGAGGATGCTGCCTGGCAGCATTCGCTATGAACTTGGGTGTTTGCTCCATCACCCGAGCGGAGTTGAGGGGCGCTATGGAAGGGCTTCAGCTGGCTTGGAACTCAGGATTCAGGCGGGTCCGATTGGAACTCGACTCGCAGTGTGCTGTCCTCCTATTGAGCAGTCGAGATTACCCGGACCACCCCCATGCAGCAATTATCCATCGTTTTCAGGAGATGATGCAGTGTGACTGGGAAGTTACCATACATCACGTCTATAGGGAAGGCAACAAAGGAGCTGATTTCCTTGCTAATTATGGCCATAACCTACCTGTTGGCCTCCATCCTGTATCTTGTTCGGTGCCAGATTTCCATCAGATCCTCTTGTATGACTGTCAGGGTCTCTCTGAGACTCGTTTGGTTGTGAATGAAAGCTAGATGCGCTGCATCCATTTATCAAAAAAAGAGAATAACTATAACATCTATAATTAAATCATTAGAATCAAATAGTTCATAACATGATATCATATCTAGGGCGGACAAACGGTTATCCGGTTAACGGTTTAATCGGTAATCGTACCGGTAACCGGCGGTTATCGATAAATCGTTAACCGGACGGTTTCGGTAATCGATGGGGAAAACACAGCTAACAGTATACCGACCCAGACCCGATTAATAACCGGCGGTTAATCGGTATACCGCATATACCGATATAATATCAAAAACTCCTTTTTTCCATCAATTTAATGGCTTCCGCCCTCTCCCCTGTTCTCTCCTCTCTCCATCTCCATCGAGAAAAAATCCCCTCTAAACCCATAAACACCCTCATCTCCTCTGTTCTCTCCTCTCTCCATCTCCATCGAGAAACAATTCTCTTCAAACCCATAAACAGATGAAACCCCTCCTCTCTTTCTCGATTCGTTGACCTGGACCACGCCGTCTCCGATTCGTCATCTTCAAAGGATCTCCGATACGTCGCTAGATCTGAAAATAGCTATTGATAGAACTCTGTGTTCTTCGTCGGCTCGTCGGTGCTCGCCCACCCACCGCCTTTCTCCACTCCTCTGTCGCCTTCGGCGCCGCTGCTGTGGAGAACCCAGAACCCGATTCCAGATTTTGTTGGGAAAATACGACGAGTCGCTCTCGATCTGCCTCTCGATTCCAGATCGGGTGCCATGCAAACTCCTCGCGCGGCGACTCTCTCTTCCTCTCGAGGCTAGATCCGGCGACATGCTATCTCCCTCGCGCGGCGGTGCTTAGTCCCTCTCGATTCCAGATCCGGATACATCGCCGACGACTCGCTCTGCCTCTCGAATCCAGATCCGGCTCCATGCAACTCCCTTGTGCGGCGACGCTCTCTTCATCTCGAGGCCAAATCTCTTTTCTCTCTCGATTTCAATTTTGGAGTCGCGGCTGGAACATGATATTGGTCACTCGCCGCCGAGGAAAAAAATCATTGCCGCGGTTATCGGGTTACCGGGTTCGTAATCGGCAACCGGCTATTCGGTAAACGGTACAGAGGTTTACCTTAATCCGGTATACCGTTAACTGGTAACCGACCGATTACCAGCCCTAATCATATCTAGTTTCGACAAGTGTTACGACTTACGAGACACAAAATTGAAGAATTCTTGACTCGTAATGTAAGAAACCCGCTTCTACGGTCTCTCGGGACTAATCTTCGGCACCCGCAATTGCTCGTCACAATTAGGGATTTAGAGTTGAGAGAAAGAATTAGGGATTTAGATGAGAAAGAATAGAATAGAATTGAGAATCGGCCGAAGCCTTGGATTAGGAGAGAATAGAAATTAGGAGTTGAGAGGATAAACTAGGGTTTAGGAGATTCTTCTTAATATTGTTCTTGATTTCTTATGACGTAAACCCAAAGTACATATTTATAGGGAAATACTGGAAACCCCTAATAATAATCCTAATACGACTAAATCTCTACTAACCATAATTATAATTATCCTACCTAATATAATAATACAAACCCCAAATAAATGTGTTTCTGACAATCCATCCCCCTTGAAAACAACCTTGACCTCAAGGTAGGGGTGGGCACAGTGCAGTCAAAATCGCGCTTTAAAGCGTAAAATCGTACGTTTCTACCTATTTAGACCCCAAAAACGTCTTAGTTTCTACTTAAAATCGATAATCACACAAAAACGTAAAAAATAACGGTAAAATCGGTAAAAGCGTACAAAAACGGTAAAATCGCGTTTTTGCTCTGTTTTTATACGCTTCTATGCGCGGTTCATAATGGCTGCTTATCACTGAAACAGTTGCATTTGGAGAACAAAATGAAAAATGTCTGGCGCTCTCCTACCTCTAGCTAATAGCTATTGTCGAGAGAACCAAAAGAACCCCAAAATCAACCTTCTCCATATTTGCCTCAAACCCAGACCCAATAGCTGCGCCCCACCCAGACCTCCTTCCATCTTCGCCGGCGCACCTTCCATCTTCACCGGCGCCCAGCGAAACTCACCGCGTCTCGTCGTCCGGCCCGACTCCGACTGGCTGCATGTCAACAATTTCACAAGCTTCAGTAGCTATGAGCCGGCGACGCTTCTCTGTCTCATGTCTCCACCTTGCCGCCAGTCAAAACTTCACCGGTCACCGCCTCCGGCAACCGCACCTGCAACCTTTGTCTTCTCTCAATCGCAACCCATGAAGTAGTAGAAATAGTCGAATTGGATTTTTGTCCGATTGCAATTTACAAAAATGAACAATCTCCTAGGGAAGCGATTAGAAGTTGAGAACATCCCAAAATCCTCATACAAATTTTCGCTGTTTTTGTTAGGCATATATAATTGTCTTTGTTTGTTGTGAGGTATAGAAGCATGGCGTTGGGGATAAGTGCTCTTGTTTGGGCTGACTGGTTCACTTTCATGGCCAATAACCTCTGTTACGAATTTATGATGCAAAATTAAGTTGAAAAGTCCTTTCATCTTTACCCTTTTATGATCCTCTCACCAAAAGCGAAAAGCTATACAGTAAAGAAGCATAAATGGTATAAACAAAGAAAACTTTGGCTAGTTTTTCTTTGCTGGTCATTACATTGTCATTCTTTGAATGGTAGCTTATAAGATTGATTTACTCTGTAGTGTAGGAGTCAAGTGAGACTTGATTGCTTTAAGTACAAATCTTAAATGATCATTAAATAATTTTTTAAACTTATTTAAGATTACACGCTCACATTTTATATAATACATGTCGTTCTTAACATATTTTAAGCTATTTTAAACGATTCATCAAAAACTTACGCTTTAATTCTACGCTTTACGATTTTACCCATTCACCGCTTCTAGGTAAAATCGCGCTTTTGACTGCATTGGGTGGGCATTCGATTGGTTCGGTTTCGACCGAACCAAAATTATGAATACCGGGTCCCCGAATTCTCCCAAACCTCAAACCGAATTCGAACCGAATTATAACTCGGTTCGGTTTTCACACAAAACCGAATTTGTAAGGCTAGTTCTATTTTCTCACTTTTAAATTATTTTTCACCCCTAATATAAACAATAAATATGTAATTATATGCATCATCAATGAAAAATCAAACTTTTCAACACATAAGTCTTAAAATATTTCAAATATTTAAGTTTTTAAAAACAACTACAAACATAAAAATCCACAATTTGAAGCTTACAATTATAGTATTTCAGTCGAAAATTCAGAAACTCGGTTCGGTTGAAAGAACCTTGGTTTCCGAAATATCCATATTTTCCTTCCGAATTCCGAACCAAATAGCATTATTTCGGTTTTGGTTCGGTTTCATTTGGTTTTGGTTCGGGTCAGGTTTACCAAACCGGTTGCCCACCCCTACCTCAAGGTTGTAGTTGACTTCTGTCTCCTTGACCTTCCGCTTTCTCCGTTTCCAATTGGGCTTGATCTCTCAAATAAACTTTCCTCGCGCAACTCTAACATTCCTCGACTCTCCTCCATCCACGTGACATATGTCACGTTCTCCATAGTCGAACAATTATCCTTCTTCCTTTTCGAAATCCACAAAATAAGAATCGGAAAATTGTTCTTCTTTTTGCTCTAGCTGCCTTCGAGATGATGCTTCATGAATTTCTTCATGGGTTTGGTGGTAGAAATAACCCTTAGCTTCTCCAAACCTTCTTTTTCCTCATTTTGGATTCGGCCCACAATTACTTGGAAGAAAGAATTAGAGCCCAAACCAATATTAAGCCATATTATGCCCTTTTTCTTTTCATTTCTGTTTGGGCTTGGATCATTTGAAAACCCACACACCCACTTAATAAGCTCATCTTCCTTTTTTAAAAGACATCACATAGGCGGCCCAACTCCTCCACGAGCCCAGCTGGTCTCCTTCTTCAACACTAGCCCGTAACCTTTCTCAACCATTAGGCCCACGTGTTGCAACCCACTTGGTAAGCCCACTTGGTCTTCTCCTTTCTTTTCTTTCAAACCTTTCCCACACCAAAGAGGACCAATTACACAACCCAACAGAAGCCCAAGCCTCTTCAGAATACTCGGCCCAATCTCACATGATTCGCCTAAAGGGACCAGCCGCTATTGTTCTCCACGGGACACACTCCTCAATACAACCGGCCCGGCAATACGATCAGCAACTCGGCCCACGGACTCTGGCCTGCTTTGTCGGTCCAAGCCAAGCCCAACCAACTTACCCAGCTGCCTAGGGTTGACGAGGGGAAGAGGGACGCCACCCTCCTCCATCTTCTTCTTCGTTGCTTCCTTCCCCGGAGGCGCCGTGCACTCCTTCTGACGGCCAAGCGGCCATCACGAATCCGCCTCGTTCTCCAGTGAGAAAATCTTCAGCGGCGATTGGGGCTCGTCATCACCCCACGTCACCAGACCTCTCCGTTTCGTCTCAGAGGAAGCCGTCGCGGATCGCGGCGTTCTTGGCGAGATTCGCATCGCAGGCGAAGGACTCCCGTGGACGAGCTCCGCCGCGATTCTCCATGCCGGTCGATGGTCCAGCTTACCACGATGGGAACTCGACACCTCAACCTCCATTTTCAACTTTGCCGTTGTCGCCGGTCACTGCCTCACGCGCCCCATGAACCCCGACGAGTCAATCGACGACGAACCCCGGCCATTCCACTTCATAATTCCTTCCTCCATCGTCGGGCAAATCTCCAAACTCCTGGTCTGCACTTCAGCCGTCATGGTGTCTGGCGATTCGTTATTTGGATCGCTGGGTTCTGCGGTTTGCTCTGCCTCGGCTTTTCGTCACCTCCGGGCTTGAGATCAGCGGCGTGAGAACGGGCAACCCCTGTTCCTCTTCGGCAGGCCTCTATCCTTTCTTACGTAACCTCCAGTTTGCTACCTGCCTTGGTGTTGATCTTCTCCCTGCAATGTCAGACTTGGGTTGTTCTTAAGGAAAAACACCCTCTCTTTGCTTGGAACCATAGTAGGGGTAACAAGATTGCCTTCTTCTTGGATCA